TCCGATGGTTGGCGGCTTACATCCGTGGCCGCCACGGTCGTGTCCTTTTCCGTGGCGCTCTCTCCAGGCCCCGTTAGCAGACTTGCAGCGTCCCTCAAGGCTCTGTGCACAGCCCGACGCTGTTCAACATCTACATGCGCGACCTCCCACTCTCTCCGGCACCTGCCATAGTGGTATCATACGCGGATGATGTCACCTTCTTCTGCCAGCATCATTACACTGATCAAGCTGTGCAGGTCCTCTCGGAGTCCATGCCTGATTTCGTGGACTTCTTCACTCAGCGCGGGCTGGTGTTCATAGAAGTTTTATCCGCAAGGCATATGGGGACGGCAATTAAAAGAATCGGTGACAGGCATTGAAAAAGTTCGCATTTCTGCCGTATTTTCATTTCACTACGCAAACGAGGTGTCAGGACGAACAGCGCGAATTAAACGAGGCGGATCTGGAGCGTATAAACCGGTCGGAAATATGCAGTCCAAGAGTGTTGGTAACAGGGGGCTGGATTGGGGAATGCGGCATGCGACATGCAAGCATAACCCTAATCCCAAACCATGATATAACATGCCTACATATAAGTAGGCATGTAATATTCATAAATAGGTGCGTCACCAGGTCCATAATAAAAATGTGTCTTTGCAAACTGGTCTACCGTTTTATGTAAAAACCCAGTAAACAACGCCCCAAGCGTGTAATGATAGTTTCCAAACGCATTTTGTTGATTCTGGTGAGATATGAAGCGTTGGATCTGAGTTCAATCAACTGCCATATCTCTCCTTCTGTTGAAGTTTGTGAAAGACTGGTAGTGTGAGCCGTACAGTGGCTGGCATGGCGTTAAACTACCTCAACGGAGACAAAAACACCGCAACAAGTTAAGACCAGGTTGGGCAGAATGAAATTCATATGTGGAGTAATGTGGATTTGAACTTTGCAATTGACGCAGAAAATGCCAAAATGTGATTTTTCGGCACGCTACAAGTTTACAGGCGTTCCCAAATACAGAGAACAGGCTTCCTAGGAACTCCTTATCGGAGGGCTTTTGTCGACACAACGAATATAGTTAATTGTGGAGAGAAGGAAAGGAAACTCTTTAAGCTAAAACAAATATGCAAAAGAAGCATACTTGGAACAGATTCTGTTTCCCAGCCTTGCAAATGTTTGCATGACAGTTCTTCGAACCAGCTCGATAAATGCGACACGTTCGGTCAGAAGACATTGTTGCCACAAAGTCGCCTAGCGGGTCCCAGGCAACACCTTGCACATAGTGTTTGTGATCCCTTAAGATGACGGTTCTCAGGGCTGTCGGTGTTGAGCCGCTCTCTTTGGCACCTGTCTGATCGGCGACACCCTCCTGACTAACAGATGTCGGAGCCAGATCAAGTTGCCACAAGATGGCCGAGTGGTCGACGGAACCGGAGAGAAGGAAGGCCTCGTCTGGAGACCAACAGAGGTCATATATGTCCTCTAAATGGCGTCTATCGTAAAACAGAAAGAAATGCCCGAAACACAGATCACTAGTTAGCTGAAGTGGAGCTTAAGATGACTGACTAGTATAAAATATAAGACCTACTGACAAAAAAGGTAGTAACACTAGATTTTCATTTTAAATTCTCGTGGAACTTGCCTTAGCGATCGGCAAGGCAGCCAGATTTCTACCGAGGACGTATCGTCAGCATCATCCACTCCGGCGAGAGGGGGTCTGGCCTCTGTACGCTCGGAAGACGAGGACTGCATCGACCAGATAACGACGAACTGATCATCACCCGCGGAGGCCAAATAAGTACCTAAAGGCGGGTGAAATACGGATGATGACTACCATTGGCATGTTGTGGAAAAAGTGAAATTGGAGAACAAAGAAGCGAAAGACCGGTCAAAGAGGCTGGTCGGCATGAGAGCAAAAAGTGGTGCAGGCTCCCGGCTACGACCCATCAAAGTTCTTATGAATTCGTCGATGCGCACCTTCACATTTCGAAATTTGCAGCCGCCTTACACGGAGAAATGGAAAAGGTCGGGTGGAAACTGACGGCAACTTTGTGAGTATAGCGACGTTTCTATTTGTCACCCAAACCCCTTATCGTAAAGAGCCATCGTATTCAGCAGTGCGTGAATAATTGGAAAAATCGGTTCAGTAAATCCCGCCAACAAAAAAGCGTATCCCTACATTCATACAGCCTGAATCGACAATGATCCGCATTGTCGGTGCTACGGCGCACGTGACAATTCGAATAAGGCAAGTCATGGGAGGAAAAAACAGCAAGGACGCAGAGTGTTGAGTAGCCCGTAGACTTGTGCGACAGTCACCGCATTCTCATCCTTCCCTGCCCCCAACGCTCCGTTACAAAAGAGTAACAAATCCAAT